GGCCAACATGTAAGCAAAGGTGTGTTGTCCAAGTTTAAGTTGGGGCTCATTCTTAGAGAGTTGATCCCAACACCTTTGTCACCACTTACAAGTTTGAACTAGAGCTCTTGGTTACTACTGAACTTACCATGTTGGAACTCAAGCCCACTGCTTAACTTGTGACTAGCACCCGGGGTGTTACAATACGCGCGTCCTAGGAACCCATGGGATCTCAAAAACTACCGATAGAAGTCTAGGGAGACTCTTCGTGGGTACATCCGGCACTTCTCCCGATGGTGTAATGAGCTACCCAACGTCATCGACGCCGACGTAATAGGAGCTTTCCTGTCTAGGACCACCTATGAATCCCTAGTTCACAAGCTGGGACGTAAGGGAGCGCCGAGGGTCAGGGCGTATGATGAACAGGGAGCCAAGGCATCCCTCGAGGATGCCATGGACTAGCTAAATGAAGCGCGTGATGTTGCCCTCCTCCGCTTGGCCAAGTATCAGCAAGCATTGCGTCGGTACCACAGCCGTCGAGTGCGGGGTCGGGCCATTAACGTCGAGGACTAGGTGCTCCGCCTCGTCTAGAGCAACAAGAACCGCCACAAGCTCTCTCCGTCGTGGGAGGGACCATATGTCATCATAGAGGTGCTCTGACCAGGCACCTACAAGCTCAGGGCCATCGACGGTGAAGTCTTCATCAAAGCCTGGAACATCAAACCGCTGCGTCGCTTTTACCCTTAATTTACGCCCACTTTCTCTTATGAGTTTCGCTATCAACTCCTCGATCTTTAGTGACACCCGACCCCAGCAGCGGTAGAGGGTCGGGCCTCACTCGGGGGCTGATAAGAGCATATCTATCTAGTAGCATTCTCTATGCCCGACTCTTTCTCACATTAAGACCTAGAAGCGAAGGTCGAGGAAACAAACACTGAGTAAAACTGGTCGGACTGCAAGAAACCTATGCCCTAGTGGCTACAGCGTTTTTGCTCACCAGCGTGATCAGAGTTTTTTCCGCACCCCGAGCTTTTTAGCCTTAACTACGAAAAGAGTCGGTACGCATTTACGAGTATATCCACCTAGCGAACATTCTCTGTACTCGACCCTCTCTCACGTTAAGATCTAGAAGCAAGGGTCATGGAAACGAACGCTGAGTAAAACTGGTCGGACTGCAAGAAACCTACGCCCCAGCGGCTATGGCGCTTTTGCTCACCAGCGTGATCAAAGTTTACTCACCCGCACCCTAAGCTTTACAGCCTTAACGACGGAAAGGGTCGGAACGCCTGAACCTTTTTATACGAAAAGGGGAGAAGGGCTAAAAATCTATTTGGCCATGATGAAATTTAAGAGCTTGTCCACTTATTACGAGTTCGCCGCCTGGCTTATCTGCCTAACTAATTTCTTGGGATGATCTCATCCTCTATCTCCACAGGTAAGTCCTATGCCAGCGGATCACCCAAGTCGATCGGATGACTCGGGCCGCTGCCGAGAGATGGGTAAGGAGCAGTAGGATGCCCCATGCGGGTTATGCCAACCCCATTACAAATGACGGACTCGGATTCCACTCGGACATGCCCGTTAGTGAGCTCACCGAGTGCTACACTCGAGCCATCAAGGCAAGTGACGTTAGCTCAACCCCTCCGGTTGTGAAAACCGCGGACGTGGTGACAATCACAAAAACGGTGACCTACCGGGGTTCGAAGGCCAGCCCGCGAAGGGCTCGAGGCTACCTCGCGTCGAACAAAGCCAGGGGAGAAAACACAGATGAGCCCCAGCGGCCTTTGCCCAACCCGCTCAGAAGTGGACAGGGTCATCTCGACCTTCTCGTTCGATCCTAACCTCGAGCCATACCCATAGAATCTCCATCGAAGGGAGGCCAACGGGCCACCTGAGTCGGTCTCTGGAACGACTTGGACATCTGCCAAGAGGCAGGTTAAGGAGCAGTGGAATGCCACATGAGGGCTATGACGACCCCATTACGAACGACGGACCCGAATTCCAATCGGACGTGCCCATTAGCGAGCTCACCGAGCGTGACACTCGAGCCACTGAGGCAAGTGACCTTAGCTCAACCCCTCCGGTTGCGGAAACCGTGGATGGGGTGACAATCACAAAGATGAGCCAACCCTCGATCGTACCCCCGCTACGCGCAGAACAATGGCTCAGATCCTAGGGAGGGGGTACAAACAAAAACTAAGAATAACGTTTCTAAAACAAAAAAACGCTTTCTCCTACCAGTTTTGCTATCGTCTTCTCAATCTTTAGTGAAACCTGACCCCAGCAACGGCAAAGGTTTGCGGAAACGAACGACTGAGTAAGGCTGGTAGGACTGCAAGAAACCTACGTCCCAGCGGCTACGTCACTCTTGCTTACCAGCGTGATCAGAGTTTCTCGCCCGCACCTCGAGCTCTACAATCTTAACAACAAGAAAAAGGAAGGGTCGAAGCGCTTTACCCCTTTTTTACATATAAAAGGGGGAGAAAGAACAAATTTATTCAACCAAAACAAAAGAACAGACTTGTTCAAACGAAACAAAAGGGATGGGCCCGCTAGCGGCCAGTACCCCGGTGCACGAGCGCCATGGGCATCCTGGCCCACGTTCGAGTCTCGGGCAGATACGATCCATGGTTTTTCCTCGAAGAAAGGCAGAGAGCCCTCGGGACCGGTCGAACGGACCCGAGAACTATATGGTTTGACCGCTGAGAATCTAGAGTCAGTCACCAGCTGACCCAAGCCGGACCCCCATGAACGGGATGCCGGGGCCCCACTCGGACTAGCCCGTTAACAACTCAGCAAGCACCATGATTCGTCCATAGAGGAAAATCATGGCACGCTTGAGGGAAGACAATCACAAAGACGAGTCGACCCTCAATCGAACCCCTACTACGGGCGGGGCTCGAGGAAAGTTGGACTCGCAAGGAGACCGAACGCGCGGTCGTAGAATGACAGACCCCCATAGGGGTCGGAATCAGAAAAGACCTTTTTCGACCCACAAAATCTCATGGCTATACCCCCGAGGGGTCCGATCACGACAAAAGAGAATCGATGTCCCCAGGACACGCCGTGGGCGACAAAAAGAAGGCCAAGGCCCTTAGAGTCCTCCCATTCGGAAAAACCTTCGAAGGAGTATTCTACTCCTCCGTAGGCTCGGGGGCTACTGTCGGGGACCAATACTAGGGTACCCAAAGAGGAGGAGCTAATGGTCATCAACATTGATTTATCCGGGCAGTCAAGAGCACGACTACAGCTCCAACCGACCCCAGGTGCGTGGGCTCCGCCTCGCCCGACCTCTGGGTCGAGGGCCCTACCTCACCTAACCTCTGGGTCGGGGGCTCCGTCTCGCCCGACCCCTCAGGTGCGGCTCCTGACAGAAGCTCGTACCTCCGCCAACCACTATGGGCCAGAAACTACAACCCAAGGTCAAACTTCTGGCATCGTGTATGGAGCGAGCACATCTCAACATGACTTGTACCTACGACACGTCAGTCGAGGGAACTCACATCACCAACAATGACGGACGCGTGGTCACTATGCTGCCTACTTCCTGTACGACCGCTGACCAGCATGCTGGTTCGCTGCGTCTCCCGCCGGGACGGAATGGGACGTCACGACCCGCTAACAACGCCGGGGCGTGGCATTAGTGGCGAACAGGCGCCCGACGTGGAGCCGCCCCTGTCACCATCTGCAGTGTCGGCAGGATCCGCATAAAGGAGAAGAAAGGCCCGGCTCTTCCCCTTCGTCTATAAAAGGGGAAGCAGGACGCCCTAGGAGAGGGGACGGCGGTTCACCACTCTACACGACTGTAGACATCAAAACATACGCCCTAACACGCCTTAGGAGCACACACACATCATACTTTGGACATGTCCCTCTCTCGCTCGTTTGTAACCCCTACTATAAACTTTCAGTGCTAGTAACACGAGCAACAGCAGCGAACTGGACGTAGGGACTTTCTGCCCGAACCAGTATAAAACTTGTGTCCTCTAAGCACACCATCCGAGCCAGACGCGTAATACTAAAATTTTACTAGTTGGTAACTCGAAACACCGACAGATATGCTAGCAAGTTTGTTCTTATAAGATCTATAGATATAGATGTGGATAGCTTGTATAGACAAAGACGTGGATAGCTTGTATAGAATAATAGATATGTTATCGACTTTGTTTTTTTAATATAATAAAATGTATAGATATAGACATAGAACTTTTGTATAGAATAATAGATATGTTAACGAGTTTGTTTTTTTAATATAATAAAATATATAGATATAGACATAGATATATAGATATGCATACTAGACTAACCTTTACTAGCTAAAGGGCATCGGTTTTATAATACATTAAATCCTAACTTTTCCATTATACGGCCCCGTTCGTTGGTCTAAAACTTGGCTGAAACTAGCTAAAAAATACAGTTCCGGCTGAATTATTGTGAGAGAAAAATACTGTTCTAGCTGAAAAAAAAAGAAAGCGAACAAGCCAAATATGAGGTAAGCCGAACATGTCTTCCTTTCTTAGGATCTATCGGTCTCGGCTGTTTGCTTGAGTTTCCCAATCAGGTTATGCAAGCTACTCTCTCCGTCTAAAATTATAAGTCATTTCAATTTTTTAAGACATCTCAAGTTTGAATAATTATCATTAGATTCTTCATTAATTATACTATACGTATTTGATGTCATATATCTTTGTAATTCTTCATTATAATTTTGGTCTCAAGAAAGTTATAATGCCTTATACAGAGGGAGTACGGATCAAACCCACAAGCACATCAAACAGACATACAACAAAGATGGAAGCACACCATAATTTTATGTACAAATTATTCAAAAGTTCTGTAGATTAAAAAGCGTATACAGCTGGTGAAAAATTGGCTACATCCAAATAGCGTTGATGCTTCACATCTTTGCTGCCTTCGATATATAAAACAGCACACAGATGGAGCATATATTACTAGCAGGCATTGTAGTTCTACAATATATGAAATCACCATTATCATCAGGGAAGACAACTGATCAGAGTCTACTCCTTCGAGGTGTGGACTGCAGACACGGTAGAGACCATGGAGTCGACGCCGCACTTGTTGCGAACATTGGAACCCCTACATATCTTGTAGTATCCGTTCTCCCCCCAGTTCTCACCCCACGAGTTCTTGATGATCCAGTAAGGCTTGTCCTTCAGGCGGATGGGGGCAAAACCAGCTGCGCCATAGCCAACAAGGAGAACACCATGGTCAAGGGTTCTGCCACAGATGTATGGACATGACACACCTCCGATGTATGTCTGCATGTAGGCAGCATTGATGCCGACTGCATGGAACAGAAAAACGTGCATCAGTGATTTCATTGTTTGCTATTGACCGTTCTCTGTATTTTGATAAAGTGATCAGATTTATTGGCACAAGAGGTTCTTTGTCTTTTACTTACTTGCCAGTGGCCCATGTTTGATGAGGTTAGCAGCAATTTGACCCTCATCCACAGACACAACACTGAAGTTCTGAACTGAAGCAACAATCTTGGACTTGTCAAACTTGCATTTATCATCACTCCCAGTGTAAGGGTAATCCTTCTCACTCTCAAGGCCACCAGCCTTCTGGAGATAACTGAAGGCATTCGTCATCAGCCCACCATTGCAACCTGAATCACATGAATCAGGTTCTGATGAATCACACTGCAACATTTACAACAAGAATGGGGGATAGTGAGTTTGGATTAATGCGAACTAAATCAGGTACCAGTAACTTCAAACCAGCAGCTATGCAAATCCTACTGTCCAAAACCTAAAAATATATGGGTCACATCTCATGGCTTTAACTTCACACATGTTCAATACTCAGTAATAAAGCACTGTAAAATCACTGTTACATTCAAGATAAATTAGCAAAAGCCTCGTTAAAATTTTTACATCACTGGATCAGATATTGGTTATCTGACATGTACAGTGAAATTGCTTCTTGCTGATGATAGTAGCAATAGTCTATGCATACAATGATGATTCAAAAACTTTGCATTCAAAATAGCCAAATAATGATCCAGAAGATATCAAAAAACAGCTCGCACATAGTTCTCTACAAATAATGATAACAAAAGTCACCTATTCAGGGTGAATGATGGATGGCTATTACAATAGTAAGTGATCCCCTGTTCCTAGGAGCAAGCCCCACTCAAAAGGTCAGTTGTTCAAGAACAAACCTGACCATAGAACTGACACATGAGAAATGAAATGGCAAATCCTAGGATGTACAATATTATCGTCATGCTTTTGTTCAAATTATACCCCAATGTTCGGATTTTATGAAGTCAGATTACACAAGGCTTTGAAGGCTCACAGGTTCCCTGAGAATCGTAAGAGCTTAGCTGTGAAGACAAGATGTATGATCTACAAAGACTATAAAGAATTGTACAAATAACGCCAACAGCTCTAAGGTCAAGTGAATCCACCTACTCTATCAGTCAACTAAGCCAGTACTTTTGTTATCTAAACTTGAATCACTGTGGATTCAACCCTCTAGGAGTAAGCAACTCCAAGAGCCTCTTTGTATCCTTATGTATCGATAGAAATAAAGATTTTGGTATAAAAAAAATCCTCCAACAGCTTATATTCAATTAGATCTCCAAATATTATTATCCTCTATTCATTATTTCTCGCTAGCCAAAGAAGAACGGGCCGGCTCTCCAAAGTGCACACAAGATGATGCAGAGCGAGTTTTAAGAAAGATGGTTGGAGATGCTCTAACATCTCAACATTGTACCACTCTTTTAACTGCTAATTTTATTTTGAAAAATTATCATGGAATCTTTCCATTCTTCCAAACCCCCGTTTTCCGACTCACAGACTCACTCCAAGATAGGTGCGCAGCTGCCCAATCAGAAAGGAAGGAAAATAGGAAAAGGACATCACACGAGCTGACAAAACATAGGCTATGGCCGGAAAAATCCAGCCTTCCTAGCACCAGCAACCATGAACCTACCAATCCCATAAAAAAGGACGATAATAGTAAGGAAATTATGAAATTAAGCTAGGATAGAAGGAAAGGGCAGCTTCCTTCCTCACCACGTGGTCACAGTCGACCATCTGCTGCTCGGAAAGCGACTCCAGCTTGCCAGTTGCGAGGTAGTGCGCACCCTCCAGCGCTCCAGAAGCGCTGAACGACCAGCACGAGCCGCACGAACCCTAAACAACAGCCCGGGGAAAAGAAATTCAGGAGTCATTTAGATGAGAAGAAAGAGCAAATAGATCGAGAAACCATGAAAGGAACGGCTCCGATCTGTGGATCCATAGTCACCAGATTCGGTGGAAACCGACCTGGTTCTTGACGGGGGTGACGGCGCCGTGGTCCCTCCAATCGAAGTCGTCGGGCAGGCCATCGGTGGGGAGCACAGGCGCCTCGTTCGCCGACTCCCCGAGCTCTCTGAGGAGCGCGCGCCGGGACTTACGGAGGCCGAGGTAGGTCCGGCGGAACTCGGCCGGCGTCAGGTCGGATAACTTAGTGACGCCGTGCTCTGCCGACGGGTCCAGCAGCTGGTGCCGGCGCGCGCGGCGCAGGTTGGCCTTGAAGACGGACAGCCGGTACGCGTGCTCTTCGGCGTCCTTGTAGGACTTGCCGAACCGCTGCACGAAGCTCAGGAAGTGGGACTCCGCGTTCAGCTCCAGGTCGTTCTCATCTCCGCCGGGAACCACCTGCCGGATCAGCGGGTCCTCCGCGTCGACGGCGGCGGCTATCGCGGCGGCCGCGGCGAGAGAAAGGAGGAGGAGAACGCGATGAGCCATCGGGGATTCCTTGCTTGTCTGGATTGGGTAGCTTGGGTTTCTCGGGTTCTCCCCGCTACTCTCACTTTATACGAGTAGTTGATGTTTAGATATTTTTTTCGAGACTTCATAAACTTCCAGGTGGTGCCATTTTTCACGTAAGCCCCTATTTACAGTGATAATATCAACTATGTTCCAAAGATATTTTTCTGATATGTCCGGGACTGTCTTTGAGACCTGTCTCAACTGGATTTCAAAAAAGTTTTATTTTTATTTAATACATTGACATATCAATAAATCTATTTGCTTGGCATGATGAGAAAGATAGATAGAGTTTCGTAGAGTTTTACGTGGATGAAATATATTTGCTCCGTTACCAACACAAAGGTCATGTTCGCTTGTCTTATGAGGCGTATTATTTTAGTGAATAAACAGTATTTTTTCTCACAATAAATCAACGAACAGTACTTTTAGTCATGGCTTTTTAGCAAAGTGAATAGAGCCAAAAGCTCACGTGGCAGTTTTGGTAACTATATTATGAAACATTCCACTGAGACTAGCCTTAGTTTCACATGCTTTAAGCTTTCTTCGTAAATCATTTCATAATATAAAATACTCCTCTTTACAAGAACGGTGAAGCCCGAGAGATAGGGCACGTTTGGTAGAGCTCCGGCTCCAGTCAAAACAACTCAAGTCGTAATTTCACTTGTGAAGTAGATTCATTTGAGGAGCTGAAGCAGTTTTTTTTTGGACCGTTTGGCAAAACAGCTTCTACTGATAGGCCCCGTTCACGTACCCTTAAACCCGGCTTGATCCGCTTATTTTTTCATCCAAAACAGTGTTTTTCTCTCATAAATTCCTCCATCATTCCTCTAAATCATCCAAATTCCTCCAGAATTGAGACAAGCGAACAGGCCCATAGTCTAAAATGATAAAAAAATGTTCATAATACCTATTTTTTCTTTTTTTTTCTTTTCTTATTCTTTTCTTTTCCCAAGCTTATCTGCTTGGTCGAACTGCATGCGTCTCAAGCATCCGCATCTCCTGCATCCAGCCATGGCGCAGTGCCCGAGCCGCAGCCATCCGTGTCTCAGCTCCTTCGTGGCCCGGCGAACCGGCGACCCAGCATCCCGACGGAGCCGTTCCTCCTCGCACATGCGCGCCGCCTGCGCTCATCGTGGCCGCGCTGGCGTCCCTCTCTGCCGGCGCTCTGCGCCCTCCCCTCACCGTGCGTCCGCGTCATCACCCCTTCCTGCGCCGGCCCGCGCCTCCCCCGACCGTGCCCGCACGTGGGGGCCACCAATGCGAGGTGAAGCCAGTAGGAGCTAGTATTTTTGGCTCCTCTTCTTCTCTCCTCCCTTGTCTCAACGTGATTTCAGGTGCTCCTAGCCAGGAGCGCTTTCGTTTTCGGGGGTTTGGCGGAGGGAGCCGTGGAATGGCTCCGGGAGCCGGTACAGAATCTGTACCAAACGGGCCCATAGTTTGGCAGTGCTCTCAAGATTGCTTCCGGGTTGAATCCATGAGGTCTACCAAACAGTTTTTTTACTGAGAAGTGATTCGTCATTGATTCTATGAAGTGATTATCTGAAACAAACTAGTAGGTTGGGAGTAGAGAAAATAGCTTCTCCCGATTCACTTCACGCGCAAAACCACAGGATACATAGAGTTTATTCTAGAGAATCATAGATAAAAAAAATCGGTTAAAGAATCACTTCTCATAAAGGATCAACTTCCACAGAGAATTTGGAGTAAGAGGAGCACTGCCAAACTGGCCTAAAGCTTATTTGCACGACTAGAGGCGTTGCCCCGGCCAATGTGTTTTCCATGACCTTCTGGTCCTACCTCTTACAGTAAGCTTTCCACTACGGCTTTCCAAATGCCAACTTATGGCAATGGGCTTGGCTTTGTGTGGATCTTTATATCCGCGAGGTACTCCTTTGATGATTATCTCAACGGCGCTTCAGTTGTAAAAAAAACCAACGCTTCAGTGAAGCTCGGGCAAGTGGTCATGGCGTCATCAGCTAGAAGGAACTTGAGGATTAGGTTGCTTTTCTTTTGTTTCAAGTTCTTCCTCGGGAGTTGTTCCCTTCAACTGTTGTTTATTGGTATACCAATGTTCTCCTTAATACTCTCTCTGTTTCCAAATTACAAGATGTCTTTAACTTTCCTAAATACATTGATTTTATTATATATCTAGATATAAGTGTATATTAGATACATAGCAAAAAACTTTATATTTAGAACAGCTAAAACATATTAGGACAGTTCCAACGAAAGAAACTAGTAGTTTCTATAACCTAGGATACCACACAAAAAAATACTACTTTTCAACTCATGATTTCTATGAATAATAATTATTTTCTCTTTCTCTCTCGCAACTCTATCTTCTTTCTCCAATGGGAGTGCGACACGAGCCCCCTAGAAACTGGTGGTTTCTCCCCAATGGTGATTTCATGGTTTCTTGGTGCATTGGGTCAAGAGTAGACCTGATTTCTTCATGAGGAAACCATTTCTATGATTTTTGCTCTCTTTCTTCATTAATTACGTTGTCATGTCAGCGTTTTGCCTATGTGGTAAGTCATTTAATGAGGATAGAAACCATCATCAATACACCATTGAGACTGCCCTTATAATTCAATTTGTGCATAAAAACCGAGAACCGAACCGAACTAATCGAAACCGAAACCGAAGTAACCGAAACCAAAATATTCGATCCCAATCCAGGTTCCCAGGAACCGAAATTATTACGGTTAATTCGGTTCCAGCACTCGGTTAACCGAATTGACCTGAAATAACCGAACTAAGCTGTTGGACCTCTTATTTTTTTTACTATAGGCTTGAATATTGCTCTATGCTTGAATATTTGAGAGAACAATAACATATATGTGTTGTACTGTTGTTTTATGCTGCATTGTTGTTTAAATTGTCCCTTTTGACTGCATGAAAATCAGGCAAAATATTGCCGAAATTTACAATTGAATGGGTTGTTTCTTAGTTCCCGAAAAATTCGGTTCCATCGGTTAGAACCGAAACCGAACCGAATTACCCGAAACCGAAATTCATCGGTTCCGCATTTTTAAAGTAACCGATCGGTCCCTTCTTCTCAGGTAACCGAATTAGCTGAAGAACCAAAGAACCGAACCGATCGGTTTTGGTTAACCGAACCCTCGGACTGACTTATAATTTATCATGGAGTACTAGATACATGAAAATACCTTCGGATGTTTTCTATATATAAAAAAAAATTACCCGCGATGTATATGGTTCGTGTTAGATGGCTTATAGACTACCTTTTGGCTTTAGCCTATACACTGTGGGTGTCCTTAGCAAGCAAACAAGCATCGTCATCAACGTGTCTGCATTTCTGATTACACAATGTTCGGAGGGCCTCCCGTGAAGTAGGCAGTATTTGCAAATGTTGTACCACACAAGGTCGTCCCTGTCGTTGTCAAAAGAAACTGCCGACCTACTGCATAAACTACTACCTACCATAATTAATTGATTAATTGAGACGCCGCCACCAAGCTCACTACTACCTGTTAATATGCGAGCCTGTAAAATGACATGCGGGCCATGTCTCTTAGGATCATCCGTGTCAGTTGGTCGCGGTTCAGACGGGGCAGTGTAATAACAAATACGTATAAATTATTGGCACAAGGAAGCGTGGGGCAACAGGAGAGCTTACTTCTGTGCGGTGTTGGAGGGGGACACGGTACATCCGCTGTGTTTTCTCTCAATTAACCATTTTGCGTAGGACAAAGTTTTTTCTCTCTCTCTCAGTTATTCTCATAGATATTGTAAAAATAAGTTCTTATTTTCACACAAAGAAACTATTCTTATAGTTCGGCTTTCCTCCTCTCTCTATATATATATATATATATAACTGAATGTTGGTCACTCCTTAATTTTAAAAATATTTTGTTTTTGCACGCTAAGCGGCTTCTAAGGTAGTTTTTTTTTTCGAGGGCAAAGCTTCTAAGGTAGTTTTAGACTATATAACGACATATCGTTGACATCAACCGTCCTTTGTAGCACCACGTCAGTCGTTCTATACATATATGGGCATAATTGGTTCGTTTTCAAAATTTATCATGCCAAAGATTATGATTTTGGCTAGTATTTGGTTTACTAGCAAAACTTATCAAATTCTCATATTTGGCTTACTAAATCTATGGTAAATATTTTACCTAACCTTTGGCTTGCCAAATCTTTGGCATGACAAATTTTGGAACTCAACAAATCAAGCCCTATAACATCACCGGTTTGTTCGGCGGTCTGTATTCGGCCTATAAGCCTTGGCTTATCAGTCAATGAACAATATTTTTCTCTCATACCAAACCAGCCAGCAGTACTTTCAGTCATGGCTTATAAGTCAATCCAGCCGAAACGAACAGGCTGCACGTCAGCCATGTCCGGAGCAAGAGCGTTAAATTAGACTACATTGAATTAATATTCAGATAGACTTTGTTGGAAAGTTAAACAAATACTTTTTTTTAAGAAAATCATCCAGCTGTTTCTTTTTTTGATTTGGCTGGTTTATCTATCGAGAGGGGCATTGTATATATCTACTCAATACTTATATAGGCCATGTTCGTTTTACTGAAAAGTCATAGCTGAAAGTATTGTTCGCTGATTGTTGTGAGTGAAAAACACTATTTGTTTATTAAAATAGTATGGCTTACAAGACCAGCGAACATGACTATAGTATCTATTTAGGTCGCTTACAGTCTCAGTGATCTAATTCTTTTTTTAAAAGAAAAGTATCAGTGATCTAATTTTGTGTTGGCAGAATCTAGCGTGAAACACCATGCCAAGAACCCAGAGATGTTCGTGATAATACTCATGAGTTAAATTTAACAGACATTCGTTAAAGAAAAATAAAAAAGACGACGGCCCCTACAGCCTACGCGTTGCCGAACGGGGTCAAAGCACCGGGCCCCCGGGCGTCGCTGGACTTGCCCGGCACGCCATGCCGGAGCTGCATAGGACGCACGGAGGAGTTTCGGTGGTTTGCTTTCACG